AAAAATCCCTTTATTAGGAAAATGGCAAATTTCTTTATTAATGCAAAGGTGACTTGGTTTATCGTTACTGTGACAAACGAAAACACTTTATTTGATGAATCCTTAAAGAAAATTTTAATTAATATCAATCAGGAGAAAAGTTATTGCAAAAATATATGTTGATCCCTAGACACTTTTGATGTGTGTAATATTGCAGTGTTTCATGTACTCTGAAAGGATTGAGGAGGTAAAGTGAACGAAATTATAATTAGTCCGTCAGTTAAATTATTAAAAATAGAATACATTTTTTTTTTATTTTGTCAATCAACCAAAAAATTACAAAGTTTCACAAAGGGGCCTCGTGACGTCAGTTGTAAGTAACAATTTTACCAACACGTCACACGTCATGCTAACTTTCCAATCAATATAACTCTGTAATGTATTGCTTATGTGAAAAGAGAAAAAATAGGTGTCCAATACGTTTTGATAATCTACCTGATAGGTGAAGAAAAAGTTATCAAGTCAGCATCCCTATTGTACAAAAATAATATTACCACATCCCTAAAATTGCTTTCTGGCTGATGTGAGCTTGTTATTGAATATGACGGGCTGTCGGTTGTTTTTTTTTATTTTATATTCGCAGACTCTGGATCAAAGTTAAGGCGACTACTCTGCGAGAGCTGTCTAGAATTCAATAAGAGCTGTTTCGGACTAGCGTTTTTCTGACATAGTGGATATAGTATAAGCTAATAGTTGATTAAAAGGAAAGGACCTACAGTCATTTGGTAGTTTTACCTGGAAAGTTTTCCGGGAGTTTTGAAAATTGGGAATTTTATAGATTTTGAGGTGCTCTTTCCGAATTTCGACTTTGCCACCTCGTATTTTTGCCGCTCGCGCCGCCATATTGGAAAAATGGCGCCTAAAAGCAGTTTTTTGACGATATCTCCTTTCCAGCTCATTTTACGATAAAAACAGCATAGACAAAGTGAAACTGGTGACAATTGCCTACAATTTATGTATCTACCTTCTTTTTCATAAAGTTTGTAAGTTTTGGCGTACGAGCGCCGCAAAGTGTACTCCAACGCGCGCTTTGGTCATTACTCATTATTAATGCAACCTGTGGCATTTAATTTCAACTCATTGTATTTAATAGTTAGTTATAGTATAATTAGGGATTGAACGAACTTACCTGAAGTGAAGTTCTATCCTAATAATCTATAAGCTCAGCGGTGGTGCTTCTTTTTACGTTCCAATTTTCTCTCCAATCTTCTAATCTTTCGTTTAATGTGTTCAATAATTATCTTTTTTACGTTTGGGCATCCTAAATAATCACTTTTAACACAATTGAAATAAAGCTAGATGTGAAACGGCACACACTAAAAAGCGAATGACAGCTATGACGGGCGCCAGACCTATATTCCAAATTTAAAGAAAAGAAAAAAATAGCTAATTATTTTATACTTTTTAGTTTATATATTCTCAATATAGTTTGAAATGGCGCGTGCTACGCGTACTACATGTGTTATTCAAGCTAATCTCTTCGGACGAAGCATGAAGTATAATAGACCCACGATGTAGATGAAATACCGGTCTGTGACGTTTCGATTGGTACTACAGACTAGTGTTGCCGAACTATCGATATGAAAACTATCGACTGTTTACATCGAAAATCATGTACCCTATCGATAGAATCGATACAATCGATAGTATCGAAACTATCGATAGCACAGAACAAGGCAATACTATTGAATGAGTGCAACAGTATCGATACAATTGTAGTTCGTTAATAACAAACTATTGATAGTATCGATACTATCGATACCGTTGATTTTATCTGCAACAATACTATCGATAGTATCGATACTAGCGATTGTTTTAGACTATCGATAGTCTACCAATTTGCAATAGTATTAGGTATGTTTTAACAGTATTGTAGTTGAGGACTATTAGAGGCCGATATATATATTTTTATAAACATTTCTATCGAGCTGTGCTAATTCTAATAGTTGATTGTGATCGACTATAATACCTGACAATTGTAAACAATACTATTGCAAATTGTTAAACTATCGATAGTATAGTTGCAAATAAAATCGACAGTATCGATACTATCGATAGTTTGTTATTACCGACCTACAATACTATCGATAGTATTTACTCATCCGATAGTATTGGCTTGTTCTGTGCTATCGATAGTATCAATACTATCGATGGTATCGATACTATCGATAAGCCGATCGATTGTCATACGATTGGTCGGCTATCGATAGACTATCGATTAATCCTCGATAGTCGACTATCGATCGGCAACACTACTACAGACGATGAATTTGCAACACCAGATCCATCGAGAACAACAAAGCGAAGGAGAATACGCTAATTTTTAGCACACTGAATTGCATGTGGATTAGGCCTATGGGGGCTGGCGACTAAAGGATGCCCTCAAGGAGGGGTACTATCGCCTCTGCTATGTAATGTTGTCGTAAACGACCTAATCACCAAACTAAACAACCTTCGCTTCCACACGGTGGGCTACGCAAACGATCTGGCTATCACAATCCCGGGTAAGTTTGCGAGCACCGCCTGTGATGTGACACGGGGGGCAATGAGGGTGGTTGAGAAGTGGTGTGATGACTACGGCCTTAAGGTGAATCCAGTGAAGACAGAATTAGTCATGTCCACGAACAAAAGATCCTTAGGCGACTATCGGCTGCCGAAACTATTTAACACGACACTAAGGCTCTCCAATGAGGTAAAGTATCTAGGAATAACCCTAGACTCCAAACTGAACTGGGGTTCACACATAGACAAAACTACTACTAAGACCAATATCATTTTCTGGCAATGTCGTAAAATGATTAGCAAAACGTGGGGACTAACACCGCTTATTGTTAAGTGGCTGTACACGACCATAATTAGGCCTATCATCAGCTATGCAGCAGTAGTATGGTGGACCAAGACAATCCAGGTAACGACAATTAATAAGTTAAGACGTCTCCAGAGGCGGGCCTGCTGTGCAATCACCGGCTGCATGAAAACCACTCCCACACCAGCACTGGAGACAATACTTAACAGGAGACCACTCCATTTGTTTATACAACAAGAAGCTGCTTGCACAGTTACACGTCTAAGCATGCTGGGGCTATGGAGGGACAACAACTCCCCACCACACCAGCATTCTAAGACATACACAGACAATTTCCGTACTTTGCAGCAGTAAACGACCTTATTCCCAAGACGTACGTATTCGACAAAAAATACAAAATTCAACTATATGAAGACACTCCGGAAGCTGAGGGTCTACACAGACGGCTCAAAAACCAACTATAGTACAGGTTCGGGTGTCTTCTCCGAAGATCTAAATAAACACATCTCAATAGCATTGGGAGCCTACAATACGGTCTCCCAGGCAGAGTGTGTGGGCATCATTAAAGCCGCCGAGGCGATGTAAGAGGAAAACACATTCGTATTCTTTCTGGCAGCGCTTCTGTCCTACAGGCACTGGACAACAATATAATGACATCAGGTTTAATTTATGAATGCCACCGTAAGTTGACTAATATTGGTAACGACAATAGATTGACTTTACAGTGGATTAAAGGACACAGCGGCTCAAGGGGCAACGATGCGGCGGACTGCTTAGCCAGGGAAGGTTCCAGCAGGACGGCCATTGGTCCGGAGCCAATTGTACCCATACCCTATAGACAGCTGCGAACCTGGATAAGGGAGCGCTGTCAAAGACAACACGATGAATACTGGGCAAAACTCACGGACTGCAGGCAAGCTAGGGAAGCCATTCCCAAGGTAAACCCGCAGCTTACACGTAAGTTAATCAGACTACCTAGACAAGCCCTGAAACAAATCGTGGGTATATAGGTATTTCTGACAGCCCTCTGTGCAGAGCCTGCCTGGAGGACGAGATGACGAGCGCCCATGTTCTACTGGTGTGCAGGGGCGTTGCAAGACAAAGGACTTCTCTGATGGGAAGTCCGAAGACAATAGTAGAGGCCTGCAGCAACATTCGGAGACTGCTGAGCTTACTGGAGGAGCTGGGATGGCAGGACTGATGCCCATCCCCACACAAAATAGGCACTGGGTGTCGAGTTGCGGAAACAGCCCGCCGTTCTACTAAGACTAGGCCTATTGGGGATACCACTTTAAAAAAAACGCACCACTTACATGGTACTCATGGTGGTGTGGAAATGAGTTTTTGGCCAAAATACGCGTTGGAGTACATTTTGCGGCGCTCGTAAACCAAAACTATTGACTTTATGAAAAAAAAGTTGATAAATAAATTGTAGGCAATTCTCTCTAGTTTCAGTTTTGTACTAACTGGTTTTATCGTAGAATGAGTTGGAAAGGAGATATTGTCAAAATACTGCTTTTAGGTGCTCGCGCCGCCTTATTGGTTTCGAATAAGGCGGCGCGAACGGCAAAAATACGAGGTGGCAGTCAACATTCGGTAAGAACACCTCAAAATTTATAAAATTACCAATTTTCAAAACTCCCGGAATTTTTTCCAGGTAACCACTTTATTTCTCACCAAATGACTATACTATACTGGAAAGATAAAGTTTAAAGCGTTTGAGTTCTTGTGATGGTAATTAATTCTATTTATTATTATTGATTATTAATTACATTGTACATTTCTCAATTGAATGTTGTGTGTGCTTGTAAAGGCTTGCATATATGTCTTAGAATAAGTATTTTTTTATTTTTTTAATGTCTTTATATGTTTAGCTGTAAGTACACCTATTAAATAAATAAATAACATAATTCATCAGAGGTAGGGTATTGCAGATTTTCCGTTCTAATTTGGGCGCTCCTCCCCGATGAAGGTACCAAAAAAATAATAACTGTTTTTTTTATTTTTGATGCTAATTAAGATTCCAAAGCTTGACAGCTTAAGGATGGCTGGAGCGGCACTTCTCTGCAGCATCAGCTATTTTCGAAACTGGACCCCTTTTACATTATTTAACATCAGCTGGAGTGGAGTAAATGTGGTAAATAAAACACAGAATCGTAAATAATGTGAGTATAATATTTTTAAATCAAAATGGATACACAGTATGTACTGGGTTTAACAAATTTATTGTTACATTTTTTATTTGGATGATTATGTTTATAACGAATAGGGGAAAATATTATTACAATAACTTTAAGCATAAAATATTAATATTATTAATACACATTAATTACATAAAATATATCATAACGTTAAAACATTACCTATAACCATGATGTGCACACAGACATAGCACAAACATAATTATAAGCAAAACACATATTATTATATTTTATTTTATATTTTCATAACTTTTTCTTGTCTATTATAACATCAAACACTACTTAATGTAAGCACTTGTTTGACAAGAATTCATTAGACGCATTTTACTTTCGGTCAATTTTAAGTATTATTTTAATCGTGCATGGTACTTGATGTAAAATAACCGTTTATTTTAAGGGTGTGTCCTTGTAATAAACGATGGCGGAGCGCTATATACAATAACAAGAATTAAAGTTTGTGAACATGCGCGCTCCGCCTCTCGTTGTATTCGTTAACGCACCGTTACTTATCGAAAATTAAAATTGGCTATAAAGTCAGCATAAAATCATTATTTCTCAAACATACTATTCTTTACTAAAATGAAGCACAAAAAGGCTTTTTTCCCTTAAAAAAATAAGTAGCTTCGTATTTATTAATCTTACGAGATTGATTAAATTTTATTTTGGATTCTAAAGCTGTAAATAAAACGCAATAAAAACGTAATAATGTGTAAACTCCAATATTGGCAAAAATCTTATTTCCAAGAATTTGCGTCAGAAGAATTCATTGGCTTATATGATTATATTAAAATTACATGAGAATTCTGTGGTAATAATAAGTGAACAAAATAGCACCACCAATAAGACATTGTAAATAAATATCGGTCACATGAAATTTGATGTAATTAGTAGATAACATTTCTTAAGCTTATATTTATCATATTTGAAGATATTATAATTAAACCATAATACAAACGTCAATAAACGTTGCCGTACGTTTAATCATATGTTATAATAGTATGTTCGTTCATTAAAGCATTAGCAAAAAGAGTTGAAAAGGCACAAGACATTTTATTTCTAAATATTTTCAATATAAAATGGCCTAATGCTAAAACCTACAAAATAAAACATTGCATGTCAGTTTTTTTATATTTTGAGTAACAATAATATCTCAATAAGCGAAAATTGGTTCGTAAGCGCTGCAAAAATCAAAATTGAAAACAATTTTTCAAACTTAACAAGTGATATTTTTTTCTATTGTGTCACACTATCCTGTTGTTACCAAAACTGAGTTACGATGTTTTTCCTTGCAGGTGTCAGTTAGATTTCATTTTAAGATACATGTACTTAATAAGTAAGTCTTCAATACGAGCAGACAATTTAAAATGATAATTTAATACTCAAATATTATTCGTATTATATCAAAAGTTTACGAGTGAACTAAGTTGAAAAAATAATATTTTATTTTCTCCAATAAAGTGCGTCTAAGAAGCCTTTTTCTACTTCTGTCTAATGCTATAATATACGAAGGGAATCTGTTTTTTTTCCTAAAAGTACCCTCATAATATTAGTGAATTTGTAAGTCTTGTTACTATCTTAATAATTGTTAAATGTCTAATTTTGTCATTACTAATACCGTCCATTTTTGGAGTTTACTCCTTAAGAATCGATTTGCATATATAAGGGGCCCGGTATGAGAAAAATGTGAGGAGTAAAATCTATCGATGAATGACCTCGTTACGTTTTTACTGTCTACGCTGTAGTAGCCGTAGTGCTACACCGTAGCACAGTATCATAGCGTACCTGTATAGCCTACAACGACAAAGAAACCGCGTCGGTGTACCACCGCGCCATTCGTTGAACTCAAAACCATTGAGCTTTAGAAGTAAAGTGGATATGGCATTTACAGTATCAATCTTTTTTTAAGTTAGGCGTCAGAGCTGACACACACATTTTTTTATGCACATATTCGAATTCATGCTGCTAAGTATGTATATAGGTAATACAAAAATTAAAAATTATGCATTGGTAATTCTAACTTACATTGAGATTCAGAATTTTTTTGATCGTCATTTTTTTATCTCAGGTGGCCATTCGCTTAACGGAAATGCTTTGGGAAACGCTAACGCTTACGATTTCATTTTGTTATTTCTAGCCGCCTGAGGTTTTCAAATGCCTCGCGCTCTTCTTTTTTCTTTTGCATTGGTAATAACAATATTTAAAAAAATGAGCGCGAGGTATTTGAAAACCTTCGGCGGTCAGAAATAACAAAATAAAACCGAAGCGTTAGCTTTTTTTCCAAAGCATTTCCGTTAGGCGAATGGCCCCCTGGATTATAACATAATTATTATCTATATTGTCCAGGTGTTTGTAAAGTAATAAATAAATAGCATCATTTCTTTTAAAGCTTCCATTTGTGTTGAACAGTCTAAAAATATTATAGCAGTAATAAGCATAGTACTGTTATGTATATTTTACTGTGTGTGTACTTAGTAATTTTGATATTATTCGCTCATTTACATTTTATTAATCGTCCCAGCGTTACCCATAGTGGCTTTACGCGAGCCGACTAATATTCCAGGTCTGGTGATAGAATTTGGTTTCGTTGTATATGAAAATACTAATATCGAGCATGCGACAACTGCACTCATAAAGAGGCGTTTTATTTTCGATTTTATTACCAACAAGTCGCTTAATAACAATGGTGCGAAATCGTAAACAAGCTTATTGAGTATATAAAGCTTCCAATTTCAATTTATTTTTAAGATTGATTCGCCCTAAAATATTTTTATAAATGTATTTATATGTATGTATGTGTAATAACGTGTCATTTGATCGCTGTAAGTATAAAAATATACAAAATTACGTACTCTTCTTTGGATGTTTCCCATTAAGATACACTTTTTATATCAATAAATCTCCTTTAGCTCAAGACAGGCCTGCTAACACTGCGTCAATGGGATTGGCGACTTTTATTAGGCCGAACGGACAAACAGGAAGCAATCGCTGGAAACGAAAATGCTCGAGCGAATGTTACATTGTGAGTTTCGATGTTGCATTTAATGAGAAATGTGATAAAAGTATTTAAAGTTTGCACGCGCAAATTTTTAACTAATCTAATTTCTCACCAAACGTTTTGATTGCAGTCGTGTTCCGTGATGGCGGGCGGGTCTACACCGGGGGTATCGTCCACAGTACGGCCGTTTTGTCGGCTGAGGTCGAAAGGAATGAGAAATCATCCGGATGCCACCGCGCCGATATCACCTTGTCCGGGTGGCGCGCTACTGGCACGCTTGGAAGAGCGCAGGTAAGATCACCTGGGAAATAAACATTTGCATATTTAATTTATACTTATTCCAAATTATAAAACGGATGGTGACATCATGAATTATATCTTATACTAGCGACTTCGTCTGCGTGGAAAAATTGTATTCTCATACAAAGTTTTATCCGCTATTTGCAACCCCTTAAAGAATGATAATGATACTGTGATAAAAACTATCGTTTGTTCTTTCCCGAGATATTTACTATCACTATACCAAATTTCATTTATGTCACATATGGGCACACTTTCACATTAATAATAATAGTAAGAAAGTATGGATTGAAGTCAGTTTCTTTTTATAATTGGCTCTGATAAATGACTCTTCGGCCCCCTGTCCAGACGCGAAGATAGCTGGTACGGCAGTGTCACCTGCCAGACCAGCCAGCACATTTGACAGGGAGAAAAAACAGCCCTTGTTGAGTTTCTTGTCGGTTCTTTTCAGTACAAGGTCTCCCGCCGTAAATGTGAAAACCGATGCGATGGCGTAATTTTTCGACATTCATAAGTACATCCTATGAGCTTATATTGAGCAAAATAATTGATAGTATATTTTATAGAATTATAAAGGAGTGATTAAGATATAAACTATGTTGACTTTTTGAAATAATAGAAATCCGATTAATAAATCAGTCTTTTATGATGTCACAGATTGTGTTGTCAAAATGAATACTGATAATTTCGGGTAATAGGGATGACGACAATTTTTTTTTCTTCGTTTATCAGGTAGATTATCATAATACTGGACACGTATTTTTTCTTTTTTCACATAATATAAACATTGCAGAGATATATTGATTTGAAAAGTCGCATGACGTCACGTTTTAGTACAATTTTCACTTAAAAGTGACGTCACGAGCTGAGCCTCGCTTTACAAAGATAAAGCGCGTCAAAGTTTGTAATTTTTTGGTTGATTGCCCAAAGAAAAAAAATACGTGTCCATTTTTTTGATCATCTAACTGACGGACTATATACAATTTCGTTAACTTTACCCCGTCGTCATCCCTATTATTGCGAGGATATAGCGGGAGCCGTCCTTCTCGATAATCTCTATTTTGTGATTATAAAATAAGTATTACTCCATATTAATACTATTAATAGGAAAGTGTGTCTGTCTGTCTGTTACCTTTTCACGCTTGAACCACTGAACAGATTGAAAGTAATTTTAGCATACATATAATTTGAGTCCCTGGAAACGACATAGGGTAGTTTTTATCCTATAAATCATGACATTGTCAATTTGTCACACACACAAGACCAAAGATTGCGCCATTTCGAAATCAGCGAATATCTTGTCGAATGCTGCAATTAGACAAACAGCTAGCGACTGCTTTACTTTAAAATTAACTGCAAGAGGTTATACTACTTAATTCAATAACGCTCAAACTTAGACTGCGTCTGTATTTCCGAGTACATAAAATTTGACTCTTTTTAAAGCGTTCTGGGTCAGCTTGCTACACCGTAGATCCCGTCTCTATTCTCGGACCGGAAAGAGGATCAAGAGAGGTTTTAAAACAGTTTTTTTTTAATTATTAAAGGGTAAGCCATTAATAATTGAAAAAAAAAACCAACAACAAACACATAATTACAAAAAAAAACTTAGGCAATAAGCTTAAAACTCTTGTAGGAAAGAATGTGTCATAACAAGTTTGGTAAATAAGGATGTCACGAATCGAACGAAAGTGAATCTCCTTGATATTCAGGAGTTTGGCTGGGGATACGCATCCACCGATTTGCGCGTACAGCACTGCACAGCTGTTTCGCGTGCTCGCGTGAATATAGAATGCCTGCTATCAATTTACGACACATTTATGTAACACAAAAACTTTGGTTCGACGCCGCCGACGAGGCGACCGCGCGGCTACAAGGAATTCGATCACTGTGGTTAGTTTAAAATTAATTAAAATTAATAATGAACCCCAGTGTGCTGGTACGCGTTAACTGTTCGGTTCGGCGGTCACAAGAAACTTTTTCACGTCATTTATACGTACCCTAAAGACCGATATAGGCGACAAAGAAGAACGAATTTACGAGAAAATAGTTAAAATGAGACTGAGGGTGAAATCCGATGGGATACCGTAGGAACCACAAGGGGGGTTTTATGCACCATATTAAACTAAATCCTCAAATAATATAGAATATTGTTTGGGTTCTGAAGAAACCTATATCAAAATTATATACGGCATTATCTTTTTTTAAACTGGTCGAGGTATTTATTGAATTGGTGCTGAGCCAAACCAAAATGTTGACAAAATGTGAACACGAGGCTGTATGGACTTAGTAAAGTTCCCTTCCCAGTGGGAAAGAATTACCACAAAAATGTTAATATATTCCTACATAGTATACTTAAGACGCCGGACCGATCGGTGTGCAGATCCTTGGGGGAGGCATATACTCAGTAGTGGATGCCGTACGCCTAATTGATGATGATTTTTCCATTTGCACTTGCACCTTCTTTCTGTTAATTCAGGCTTCCTATTACATCTTTTTAAATCGGTTATAATGCGTTAATTTAATCAGTTAACTTGCAAACAATGGAGCTCATTGAGAGCGCGGTCATTGTAACGCCACGTTGAATTTAAGAGCGCGGTTCATTTACACGCGAACATTATTCGGACATTATATTTGATGAAGGGAAAAAGAAGTCATTGAAGTCACGTCTGAAAATAGAAATTCAATTGGGACAGGCCGAGGTCCTTAATCATGAAAATAAAAACGTATACGTGAACGTAAGTATTTGAGGAAAATTGGGCCGAGAAAATCTAACAAGATTAAAAAATAAATGTAAAGTTATTTTTCCCTTTCATTCAATCAGGTGAATAAAAAAAACTTTGCAAAAAAACGGGCACCATACGAAAATTACGTTCTCAGGTCGATAAATTAAATGAATTTCAATTGTTTAACATAGTCTGTATACTATTCGATGAATTCTTTAAAACCGATGTACACGGCCGAACAATAAGAAGTGGTAGGCAATAAAGTAAGATGTGTAAAAACCTAATAACGAGTGCGACCTCTTCTTGCCAAAATCACAGCTTCAATCCTTCTGGGTATGCTTTCCACGATGTTTTTAATAACGTTTGAGGAATACGTTCCCACTCCTCTGCAATGACTCTTTTTAGCTTTTTTGATGTTTTGTGGAGCAGGTTGCTGTGATCTTACCCGTCTCTTCAGAACATCCCAGACATGCTCAGTTGTATTGAAGTCAGTACTTCGAGCAGGCTAATCTAAATGACGGATCCCAAATTCTTGCATGTATGCCGGAATGATTCGTGCGAGCATTGTCGTCCATAAAAATGGAATCTTACTCTAAAACAGTCAATGCTGGTTGTGAATTAGACCTCCGATATGTACCGGTGTGCATTTAATGTTCAATTTTATAAAAACTCACTCCGTACGCTCCGTCGAATTAATTGCTGCCCAAAACAACGGAGCCTCCGTCGTAAGGAGTAATTTCTTCGAAACACACTTCTGCATAGCATTCCCGTGGTCTTCGCATCATTCGTCGGCGTCGGTCTTCTCCACACAAAGATATTCTAGCTTCATCAGAAAACAATACTTTATTTCAGTCCTCCAGAGTCGATGAAGCACAGTCTCGAGCAAACTGAAGTCGAGCAACACGGTGCTGACGGAGTAATTTAGGGCCAGGCTAGGCGGATATTGGCAGTCAAAAGTCTCCTCCTGATCGACCACAAGCTAACTTCTACCCATCTTACTTATTCATGGTTTTTCTTTAGGTCCAAGCTTGATGCGTTACAGTTTCGCAACGCTCACCACGACTCACCAAAAAGCGGTCATCTCTTGGTTCTGTGTATCGTTTTCTACCCGAACCGGGTCTTCTTTTGACCAATCGGTCTCCTGCTACCTTTGCAAAGTCCTCTGGAAAGTTGAATGACTCACATAAAGATGCTGAGACACGTAAGTCTGCGAACAACCTTCTTCAAGTAGGGATATAATTTTACCAGCTCTTAACGCTTTGTTACATATATCAGAAAGTGGTATTTAATGTAACTATAAAGATTTAATTGTTTAATTTGCAGAAAATAACCAGTTTAAAAAATTTGGTGATCAGTAAAAAATCCTTTCAGCAATTCGTGCCATTATTAAAGCAATTTTACAATAATCTTCAATAATCATTATTTTTCTTTTGCTAATTTCAAAATTTAAATTTGGAACGTAAAGAATCATGCCGGGATGCTACAAAATAACATGCCAACACATCATTAAAAAAATAAAACCTTTTTTTGGTACATTCAAAGAAATAGAGAAAAAACCCCGTTTTTATGCAAGACGTACTGAAATTTTTTACTTAAAAAATCTTTTGTTATAAAACAGACAAACATTGAAGATGATTGATAATAACATAAACACACTGCTATATTATCAATGCAAGCCAAGTAATATCACAAACACCATAAAACAAAAAAATATGAGCGACTTTTTTTATAAAGTATGAACGATATTCCTAATATCTGAAACTCCTGAACGATATGTGAAATAACGCCAAGTTTGTGATTCTAATTTCTCTATTATTTTGTGTATGAAATGTAGAATTGAATGAAAGAAATAATAAAAAAAAAAACTCACTCTCGTGGAAAAGAAGCCGCTTACGCCAAATCCCCATAAAGTGACAATTAGGTTTACACAGGCGTGATCGAGTTCCAGAACTCTCGTTCGCCAAACAGGGCCTAAGAGGCTTTTCAGATATTCAATTTAGCAATAATACACCGGATCGTGGGAAACAGCATAAACGTAATTTAAGAGCTTTATCGAGGTAATTTCAACAACGCAATTGGTAAGTGTAATAATTAAAACCACGATATACATACCTATGTAAATTAATAGTTTTTATTACTCAACTTTCCGATACCAACTTTCATCATCATCAGCCTCTTAATTTATGGATGGAATAGGGAGAATGGACCAAAACCCACCACGCGGGCCCAGTGCGTGTAGGCAGAGGGTGCTAACGACTGCAGATGCAGCCGGGACCGAAGGCTTAACGTGTCTTTGGAAGAACGGGGGAGCTCGAGATAACAACTTTTTGGTCACCCATCCAATGACCGATCTTGGCGAGTTGCTTCCAAACCAACTTTATTGTACTTTAATGACGTTTACGCGTTCAGACCAGGTACGACGACGTCGTATTCAATGTAAATATCAATGGCATAACGTGGTCTAAGCAGTACGGAGTGAAGGTAAATTCTGCCGCTAGGTAGTATTAGTATGTAGTTTAGTTTTGGCGTTATTTAATACCTTCGTGCGTGAGAACTAGCATATTTTCACCCCTTAAACTGTTGCTCGGGAAGGCCATCAGTTACTTATTATTATGTTTTTAGTAGTTCTATAGGTATGATGACCAGAAAACTAAAATTGTACATCAACGCGAACCAATAATGATTCTTCGGTAACTTTTAACTTCAAATAACTGAATATATTTTAAGCGAGTACGAGCCGAAAGCCAATTAATAGCGAACCTTTTTAATATAAACCCATATTCACCGTACCACTGTAGTGTGAAAAGCGTGTGCGATTTAAAAGCCTTTAACCCCTTTTAATTCTGCATTGTAAAATAAAAAAGTTCTCTCTGCACGTTGGCAGGCTAAAATTAACTCCCTTTGATGTTGCGGCCGCTGTTGATTGAATTACATTCAATCCGTCAAGTGAGGGACGCAAAATGGCGCGGGTTCGCGACGCCATCCACACCAAATACTTAACGAGTTACCAAATTACAACTCTCCGATTGCACCTCGTCGATTTATTTTTGTTTAATAACGAAAAGATTTTATTATTATTATTTTGCTTTAATTTACATACACATGTATTCGATTAAAGGGGTTTAAATAAGGCTTCGTCTAATATTTTTTTTATTGACGTGTAACATCTTTCCTCTCGCTTACCTGCAATTTGTGGGAGTGATTTTGTGAAATGGGACGGAAGTGTGTAACAGATTTTAGAATATTATGTTCAAATGGCTTATTCCTTTTGTAGTAGGTTTTATTTCTATTTTTACTAATTTATGGTGAGGTTTCAAATGTTACACATCATACGCGACTACTGTAAGACTCGCTCGTGTTTTTATTATCAATTTAATCCATTAGAATTATATTAATAGGTACATATAGTGCAAACAAAAGCCAGAAAGGAAACGATACTCAATTACTTAACAATTTAATCAAAATGTTCTACGATAAAAGTTAGTTTCGGTAGAAGCGTTTCGACGTAATGTTTGACACTACATCTTCTTCAAAATGTCCAATAAAATCGATGAATATAACATTCGACTTACTAGACTGTCGACAAGGTGTCATCGTCGAATTCTTATTTTCATAGTTTTTTGCCGTGGATTAGTGTACCCATATAGCGATGGTGCCGTGTGATTCGTGATTCGATATTGGTTCGTGCTATGGGTATTGACCCATAGCACGAACCAATATCGAATTCGAATAATTTGCGAGTACGAAATGTCATTGGTACACATTTGACAATGACATTTCGTACTCGCAAATTATTCGAATTCGATATTGGTTCGTGCTAAGGGTTACTGTACGCCTCAACGCAGCGCGAGCGAAACGGTGTATCCGCGTCGCTTGGCAACCGACTGAGTTTTCTTTTCTCTCTTTATAAACGGCGGATCTGTATTGTCCTTCATTTCATTCATGAAAACCGTATTTTTGAGAATATAATGTTTTTTACGAATGAAATGAGTTGTCATGGAATTTGTTATTTGATCTCGAAAAAAGCAACGAAGGCATTAGATTCTTTTATCTTTATAAAACAGAATATCCGCAATATTGTTATATTGAGTGCACATGCAGCGTGTTTGGATGTCAAATTGATCGTAGTTTGCATGGAACCACTTTTTAGTGCAGTTCGTATTCTATATTACACATTTCTAATTCGTTGGATGAATCTAAATAGGATGTTAAAACAAATGAGAGCTCGCCCTGCAGGTCGGTGAGCACGTAGGCTGAATCCACCGACAACACAGCCCCTAGACGCCTAATGATAGGCAAATATACCTGGCAACACATCTGACTAATAAATCAGATAAATAGTCCCGGAGGGAAATATTCAATCAGTGTGGACGACTTTGGAACGCGTTTGGGGTGATTTTTTTTTCAAATGGCTCCGTTTACCATCTTTATAAGAATATCATTTACTTACATTATGATCTTGTAAAAGTCAATCAAGGCGCAGTGCCTCTGCTTCTTCTTGCCTCGGACAGTTGCCAGAATGCATTTAGTAATGAAAATATAACATTAGGTGTCTATGGCCTGTGTAGTCGGTGGCTTAATCTAAATAGGATGTTGCAACAATTAAGAGCTCACCCTGCAGATTGGTGAGTACCACACGGCCGTCGATAGCTGACTCTAAATAGGATGTTAAAACAAATGCGTGCTCACCCACCAGGTCGGTGAGCATCACGCGCTCAGCATAGTCGGCTGGTGGAATCTAAATAGGATGTTAAAACAAATGAGAGCTCACCCTGCAGATCGGTGAGCACGACGCGGCCGTCGTACCCGGCAGTGAGCAGGTAGTAGGCGCCGGGCGAGAAGCGCACGCTGCGCACGTCGCCCGCGTGTGGCGTGAACCGTTGCAGGGCACGCGAGCCGCGCACGTCGTGCAGCGCACACGAGCCGTCGTCGTGCCCGCACACGAGCAACCGCCCGCTCGGGTCTACCGCCAGCGACGCTACTGCCGACCCCTATACCAATTGCGCACCAACTTTAACTTAAAGCGCTCGCGGGATTATCAGAGTTCACACAGAACATGTTAAAAACAAAAAAAAAACAAAGGAGAATACTCATGGATGTACAGCCCACCACAATTTTAAATGATGGTTTAATATTCAAATTAGTATGACAAATTGGTATTTTGAAAATAAAAACAGGAATTGTAATGTTAGTGTAAAAAATGTGACATAACCTAAAATCCTTAATAATCCCTATTTTAAGGCAGGTTTACAGATAAGTGAAGTGATGTAATATGACGTGTTAAGCATAGAGGCGAAAAAGATAAAATGACGAGTTGTCATCGCAACTTTTAAGACACTAAAGGCATAAAGTCACTATTAAACAATATAAACAATAATTAGTAACACCTGATTCATTGCTTTTTGATGGTTCATACATCGGAATCAAAAACAACAATCGATTATATAATGTTTCATTAATAGTGTATTATGGCATCACTATTCACAAATAAACAAATGTCAGATATCTGGTTCAAAATATAAACAGTAATATTACTTCTAAAATGATTCTTCTGATCAAAATAGCCATTTTGATAGACCAACGTACGTACATATAAATTAAAGAATATAATTATCATATTATTTTTATCTTGATGCTTGAGACATAGCTGTACCAATCATGGGCATTCTACTTTGTGACTATTCAATGGAGGGTTTTCTGGAATGACGGGCACCAGGTTGCAGCAAAAGGTCTAATCCGTCAAATCGCGAATGTCGTCGTAGTCTATTCATCAAATCAAATGCTCGTTTGATTAGTTTGCACCAAAAACTTCGGGTCACAGTGACGCCAACTGGTGACGTAAATTTTCATAAACACCTACATTAGGCGCCCGATCTATTACAATTACCAAAATTTCTAGGGCAACAGTAACTTAAGGCAAAGTGAGGAAGAGGGAGATACAGAGAGATTTATTTTCACGAGATCATAAATGTTTACGTACCTTGCTCGGGTGGCCAGTGGGTGGTGAGATCACATTGACGCAGCCTCCTGTACGAAGGTCCCAGAAACGAACTGTCTTGTCTTGGCTACCCGACACGAACATGGCTCCGCCCCAATTATACAGCGACAACACATGCCCGGAGTGACCGCTTAGCGCCTGTGTACAAACATCGGTATAATGAAACGTTACATCATCACTAGCTTGTATTTTTGAGTAAACGACGGAGTATTGGTAGGGCTAAGATGTAAATGTGGTCATAAACTCTATTAATTCTCAACAGCAGTGATTCTTAAAAGGGTCCACGGACGGTAACTCCTGAGTAACGGCAATTTTGTGACGGAACTACCGATAAAAGTTGGTTAGTTCTAAAATACAATTTCACATTATGTCAACACACAATCCCTTCTCTACACGAAAATAAATAGGTTAAATTAAGAAAATATGCCTATATAATTTAATTCCGCCTAAGATTCATTCCCATTTATTATACTTTTTCATATAATGCTTATAAACAATCCTAAAAATATGTATGTTAAATAATATTTTATCACTCATAGTAAATATTAATTATTTTGAAAAAAAAGCCGCAAGAAAACGAATGGAAAGAGAATCGGATTGGTTCTAGGATAAAAAAATGAATTGCTTCGCGCAATGAACAAATGCACAATAGCAGAAGCATATATCAATGGCATTAAGTTAATGTTAGATAAATATACGCGCACATGCACAAGCAAATACACACATACACACACAAACACACTTGCTAGTATTTAAAAAATATAGACATATAAGCGTTATCCTGTGAACTTATTTACTGATGTTATTTACTGATAAATGGCGGTAACTTTCTTTTGCTTTGTTATTAAATTCACTATGGTTCTTTAAAATTCAATGTAATTAAATAAAAATATTTACTTATATGTACTCTCGCCCATAATCTAGGGTAGATTACAAAAAAAATGCATTATGCATAAGAATCTAGCAAACGGACTTTAAGAGTATTTGAGCCTGGGGGTCGTAACACAGGTTTTGTAACCTAGTACAATCTCCAGCTCTCTCAAAGAACTGCATTGTTTTTACTGTTTTTGTCATTGAATACCCTTTTAATTAATTATAATGTTACCTTGTGACTTTGTGAGAGAAAATAAAAATCATTCATTCATTCATTCAATGTTATTTTGTTCAGTAAAACTTTCGTTCGGTTCAGTAAACAACTGTTAATAGCACCAATATCGATGTGTGTGTTAATATCAGACAATCCAAATGCCTCAGGACAACTATAAACATCTCAGCAGTTATGAGGATCTTACAGCTATGTTATGAAATAATCATTTTCATGTACGTTCGCAATAGACTTAATAAATATGAAGATATGTGCTCCACTTTCGGAAATAGGATCGTTAATATTATGATATTTCAGACAAATTGGAGCAAAGAAATTATTAAAATGTAGCTGAAACAGATTAATGTAAAAATACCTAGATAAAAAATCGAATTCCTGTTACAATAAATTAAATGGAAACTGTGCTGGAATATTCCATGTCACATAACGATCAAATTGGCATTAAACGAACAAACTACCCTTTTTAGGGTTCCGTAACTCAAAGGAAAAAAACGAAACCCTTAAAGGATCACTTTGTTGTCCGTTGGTCTTTCAAGACACTTTATATCGGGAAACTCAAGCCTATGGTCCCTTGTGGCTGCAAAAAAACAATCTATTACGAGTAAGTGAACTTAAAAAAAGATACTGGCGTTTTTCTGTATTTCTGTCAAGACCTTTTATCTCGGTAACGCGTGGAGGTATCAAGTTGAAATTTAATAATGTAATTTAGTCTGCGGTCCCTTGAAGCTGTAGATTAAGCAAACTTTTAAGTTAACTTAAAAAAGAGATACGGCCGTGTATGAATAAAATAGAAAAATAACTAGAAAATATTTGATGAGAATATCATAAAGGAATTTATAATTAAGCACACGTCCGGCACCACTGAGATAAAGGCATGGGAGCGCCCCGCTCCACTACCCCTCGCATGACGTCACGAAGGTGCTTACGCAGCTTACGTCGCTAACACGGCCATAATGACGACTGCTTCGCCCCCGAATCTCTAACTGAAATAAAACGCAGGCGAAAGGATTACAACCTTCTCACTGCCTGCCTTCTGCCTGAAATCTATTCCGCAGGCCAACTTCTCATGTTTTCAAAAGTGACCGTTACTCTGTGAGTGCTGCCATTGGGTCTTGTGCCCCACAATTCAAATCGATCGTTCTTCAGAACTTTCGACACTTTATACGGAATACTTCGGAATCTACCTTTTAACTTTTTGTATCCCGGATTTCCTTTACTAATGCGAATCAATACCATATCCCCGGGTTTATAAGGAGATTTTATATAACGTTTAGCATTAAACCGTCGCATCTGCCGCTTCGTCCAAAAGCTCACGGGCTTTTGTTCTTGTGACTCTCAGGTCCAACCTCTCACCTGCCTGCGTGAGATTATTTGCCGAAAGCGCCTCACAGAGCGCTGTCGGCTTATAACCGAACAGCAACTCATTCGGAGTTCTGCCAGTTACCTTGTACACTGAATTATTTAACGCCTGCTGTGTGGCAGCCAGGGCTTCACACCAGTTCTATTCTGGTTCATCCCTGATTAAAGCGTTCATTGTATTAAATATTGATGTGTTTAGACGCTCTACCTGTCCATTAGCTCTGGGCACATTAAGTGGATTAATCACCAATTGAATTCCATTTTCATTGCAGAAGGCTTTCATAGCCCTAGTCGTAAATGCTGTTCCTCGGTCACAAATCAGCCTTCGAGGCACTCCGAATAAATATGCAATAGCCTCTAAAGCTTTTATCAGCCCTTTGGTGCTCGGTTCAGCCACTCCTTCCAAAAAGCAATATTTAGTAAATCAATCTTGCATGGCAATGACATATCGGTGCCCTTCTTTGTTTTTCACAAAAGGGCCAAGATGGTCAAAATGTACCAGTTTCTCCCTTTGGTAACGGATGAAGGAGCCCTGGCTTCCTACCAGTATCACTCTTGCCAATAAGCATTTAAAACAATTTCGGACGTATTTCGTCACAACCTTCCTCATCCGGGGGAACCAATATTTACCCCGAATGGTAGCCAGTGTTCTGTCTACACTTTGATGTCCATTCTCATCATGCATAATTTTTAACACTCCCCATTTTGCATTTCGTGGTACAACCCATTTGGACCCTTCCGGTGACTTCCTGTCCCTCGAGAGAGACGTCCCTCTTTAATCTCGTAATCATTAAAATATTGGTCACGATCTCCTTCATCGATTCCATCTCTTAAAATATCGTCAATTCTTGACAATTCTTCATCAGACATTTGACATTCGAGTAAATTTTCTGCCGTCGTGATTTAATAAGCTAAGCAAACAGGATTCCGACTTAAATAATCAACATGAGCAACTCGTTTACCCGAACGATATTCAATATCAAAATTGTCTTGAAGATATATCCACCATCGAGCCACACGTGGATTTATTTATTTCTATGTCATAGTAGCCCTGACGGCACTACAGTCGGTAATCAAATCAAATTGAATAATACAAGTAGACTCGAAAATGCTTGAGTGCTTGCACGACTGCCAAAGTTTCTAGATCATAAGAATGATATTTGGACTCATCTGGTGACGTTCGACGACTGTAGTAAGCGACCGGATGTAGTTTCCCATCCTCATCTTTTTGCAGCAGTATTGCCCCCAGTCCAACACTCGACGCATCAGTGTGTATTTCGGTCTGCGCCACTGGATCATAAATCTTTAGAACCGGAACTTGCGTAAGGATATCTTTAACTGTCTGAAATACTTGCTGGCAGTCTGAACTCCAGTCAAAATCAACGTCTTTCTTCAACAGGTTGTAGAGTGGACTAACTTTGGCAGCAAAGTTGGGAACAAATCGCCTGAAATAACTCGCTAGTCGCAAAAACTATCTAATCTGTTTTATTGTTTTCGAGGGTAAAGCCTTAGTCACACAATCGATTTTATGATGACTAGGTCTTACAGTTCCAGCCACTATTTCCCTCACTAAGTAGGTACTCTATGTTGGTTTGAAAAAAATTACATTTTTCTAAATTCAATGTAAGACCAGCTTCTCGTAACCTCTGTAACACCTGATTTAACCTTCGAAGACCTTGTCTTCGTTCTCTGCTGGTATGAGAATAACGTCAATGTAGACCAGGACACCTTCTAACCCTGACAAAGTGCTGTTAAGAGTCCTCTGGAATACTGATGGTGCATTAGCCAAGTCTGAATGGTATCCTTAAAAACTCATACTGACCGTCAGGAGTGACAAAAGAGGTTTTGCTACTGAGCCATCTTTGAATCTTTGATTTGATGAAATCCTGATTTGAGGTCTAAAATTGTATAATGAACCCCTTTAATTAAGGTATCAATTTGATCTTCAATTCGTGGTAAAGGGAAACGATCTTTTTATGTAGCTTTGTTTAATTCGCGGTAGTTAACGCATTAGCGATTACCTTCATCCCTCTTTTTGACAAGTAACATTATTGCATTTGGAGAATTACTTGGCTGAATTAGCTGAGCTTCCATTAAATCCGCGATCATTTCCTTTACAACTTCCCTTTCTATTTTGGATAATCTACGAGGTCTGTTGAATATTGGATCATCGTTCCTGAGTTTTATTGAATGTTGGTATTTATTGGAGCAACCGATATCTTTCAATGATGTAAATACACGGTCCCAATATTGAGTCATGAGTTCTCTAAAACCTATTTGTCTATCTTTGGATAAAGAGCCGGTTTCTAAATCACACAATTCAACAACTGCGTAGGCGTGATCAACGTTGCTATATTCTTCGTATTTGATTCGAACTCCTTCCCTATTAGAAACTATATATCGCGGCCCACTAATAAGTCTACTGGAAGATCGAGGAAGTTCATAATCAAAGGGGTCATATCAACACCAACGACATCACTGCTTAGTCTGCACGACGTTTGCCCAACGGCCGCCACAATACTTCCTTTTATTTCAGTCTTCAAAGCTGTGGTTGGATTTGAGTGTAAACCAAGCTTTTGTGCAACATTCTGTCTTATAAGAGTTACTGAACTTCCAGTATCAATAACGGCTCGAATAGAATTATTATTTAAATAACACGTAGTTGACATTCGTACTAATTTATCGGAGCATAAGTTGACGGGTTTTAAAATTTAATTTCTTGAAACACTTATCAACTGTCTGCCCATAGCGATGGCAATTGAACCGAACCTTTGTTTATGTTATTAGAATTCCCGCCGCCTCCAGCTGTGATGACTTCACCCGTAACGCTAAGTGTCGACTAACATTCGAATCGTTGGTGACCCACCCGGCTTGCCGCACTTGAAACAAGTGCCATTTGTTTCATCGAAGCGACGCGATGACGACGTACGAGTTTTGTTTTTGTTATGCTTATTTTCAGATGACGGTAAAGCGTTATCAAACCGAGTACGACTACGCGTTTCACTCATATATACCTTCGTGACGTTCAGTTAATTTGACACCAAGACGTTTGATCTCAGCGGACATTCGTCCTGCATACAGCACCAAAGATTTTGCCTGACTACTTTTAGAATTTACAATATCCTCCATAGTACTAAAGAGATTCGCTTCCCTGGGATAAGAAATAGTTAAATATTTTTGGAATTGTTTCCAAGATAGCTTTTTGGGTAACCAAAGATTGTACCATGCCCTACCTTCCCCTTCCAGAGGCTGGGCCGCGCGATATAATATTCTTCGCTCCCTCCAGTCACAAGCAGTCGCAATGTCCTCGACTTTTCGGATCCACTCTTTCAAATAGCTTCCTTCCTTGCTGGGATCGAAACCCGGAACAGAGCCTAGTTCTGGTGTTTTGGATCTGGAGGACTCCAACACTGAACTTTCACGGCTACGGGATTGCCGCGAAATTGTCAACTCGCTAGTCCCCCCCCCCCCCCTACGTAAGAAAAATAAGAAAAGTCCAACAGGCGCCCCCCTGTTTCATATTTATTACGTTAAAAGTGTCTGTTAGGCAATCACTTGCACTTTAGTTCACTTCGAAAACAGTTTATGGGTATTATCCCACCGCTGTGTTATGAATAAAATAGAAAAATAACTATTGTGTAGAGTTGTTCAATAGTAATATTTGTTTATTCATTCTAAAATGACAAAATTCTTTTTAAATGTAATTGAAAGCTTTATATTTAAAAAAAGAATACTAATGATATAATAAAATGTGTATTGAATCAACACACAGGAAAAGTCTCTTTCTTTTCCTTAAAATAAATTGTTACTCGTTAAATATGTGTAAGGACAATAAGTAAAAGCAATGTGCCACGTTGGAGAAATCAAAGAAAAGAAGAAAATAATTTCTCTTTATCGTCAGTTTTACCCGTTTTCACAATGCGTAAATTTCCACTACTGGATTGAAGTTCCTATAATGACGTTCCTATAACTGGGTTAAATGAAGTATATACGTTTTAGTGATAATAAAAAACACATATATAAATAAATAAAAGGACATTATAAAGTATTTTTTTATTTCAAATGGCCTCTTTTCACATGTTAAGTTGACTGACAGAATTTTACGCATGCTGTTTTCATTACCAGCGATTTTGCTTAGTGAATTAAAGGTCTCGTACCATTCTCCAAGATTTAAGACACACTTACCTAAGTTTTTTTTTGAAAAGCCAAGTGATCTAGAGACAAAACACAGAAATATTCATTCGGTAAAGAAACATCTGTCTACCTACTCTTACGTTTCATGAGATACCTACAGCCAGCTGACAGACTGACAGCGGCAACTTATTTATAGGATCCCAATGTGACCCTTTGAATACGGGAGACAAAAAATGTCATGAGTATAATATTAATAATGTTTTTATGATGCGATTATGCTAACATTCGTTAAAGTTACGATTGAATCTAATCAAATCGCGCCAGAGCGCAGCTATGGGCATTTCATGATAATGTACGTATATAAGTGGCGTTCCACCAGTCTCGGTCTCTCACTACAGATCTGTTTATATAAGCTTACCACTGGATATCGAAACGAAAGCCTAGTCTACACTCTGTTTATGCTATACACTAAGCACCGTCACTGCAGCAGCTACGTCACGCCGGAAATTGTGCTAAACATCAAGGCATATAAGTACTTACTTGGAAAGTTTTGCCAGTAGCGCAGTCGGTAACGTATATCTTGCAGTCGCCCGCGCCGCCGCTCACGAGCAGACTGGTCTTATTCGACGTGTCTTCGATAAAGCACACGTCACGCACCGTGCCGTCGTGCATCGTCAACTCCACCTTCAAAAAATAATTTTGAATACTAAAGATAGTTAAGATACGTGTACTTTTTACATAATGCGATTTAAACTTTATGACGGTTGTTTAGTTAGCAGAGAGCGCGACTGCGCTCACTCAGGTTGCAGTTGAGTCGCGTAGTGCTCATGAAACAACCACACTGCACAATTAGTTGTGCCACAAGTAAGTGCTTTGAAAATTTTGTCCCTGTGGCATGTCTTCGTAGTTGGTTCATGAGTACTTTAACAAATCACCGATTTCCGTATTACCCATGTACCAACCGCATAGCACAACCAATTCCGCCAAGGAAAATTTTGTTTCCGTGACACAACCAATTGCGACACTGATTTTCCTGTGTGGCCATAAAACCCGATCAAAATTAACGGATTAATCTCAGCACATCTATTGTTAAGATCCATGATGTATCTATTGAGTATATTTTGTATAAGTAGATCTATTTTATTAAGAAATGAAAGAAGAGAAATATTAAGAATTTTTAAGACTCGTTTTCATAACTAGAACCTCTTAGTCATGTATGGTCTCATGGTACTTTTTCCTAATAATGATTTTATAAATGGATAACTAAAATATGAACATTATACTTAAAATAAACCTTATGTGAATGGAACTACTTGAGTGTAAACCTTTTTTAGTGGATCAGTGGAAACTCCTTGTTTACGGTAAAAGTTATTTTAGTTAAATATACATATTTGAATTAAATTTTAAATATATTTATGGACGCCCGTCCATAAATTACGTGAGATGTTTAAGGGGGGAGGGGGTCGAGTCAAATCCCAGCTAATCTTACGTTGGAGAGAGGGGGGGTCTCGGCAAATATCACGCATTTTTTTCTGATTGAAACATAATAAATTATACTATTTTGGTCCATTTAATCCAGATTGTAAATGCTTAAGATTTAATCTTAAGCGTAATAGTAATACGATTAAGATCATTCACTAATTCATTCGAAAGAAAATAATTTCATTCATACTTCGACGTTATACATCTACTGACTGTCAAACCACCATATTTATTTTATAACAAATACAGTGTAGCCCGTTTCGCGCCATTGTCAGCCGAACACGCGACTCGATGAACGAGAGCGTATGAGCTGAGTGGCAGCAATACAAACGGACAGGTTCAAACCTTCTTTGTTTATTCTTGTAAATGTTTTGCTCCACTCAGTGCATGCTCTTACTAATTTAAAATGTGTAATCAAGATTTTTAAAACGCATACGTCAAAAGATACGTCTATAAGACGAAAAAGTCCTGCCAGGCAGTTGTGATAAAATTATGGAATACAGCGAAGCAAAAAATCCCGATTACTTTTTATAATAACAATCCAACGTGTTTACGTAAGAAACCCACATTTTGAAAAATCTCACGTGAGATTGGGGGATGGTGTTGAATAAAATCTCACGACATCTCACCAGGGGGGAGCGAGGAACACAAAATTTAAAAAAACTCACGTAATTTATGGGCGCCCCTATTAAACCCCTACAGCCTATCAGGATTGCTGTGGCTATACCTGTCGCTCAAGATTTCATTTTGTTAAATCTGACCGCCGAAGGTTTTCAAATACTATCCACTAACATTACCCATTAAATGTCTTTAAAATTATTGTTTAAAAATGTTCTTAACCTGATAGTAAGTAGGTGCTCTTAAGAACATTAACTCCAGACAAGTGTTGTATACAACCCATTAGTGAAGCGAAGCCATATCAGGTTACAGTGTGGCATCGCTGCCTATATATGTACCCGCGTATACAGGCCATCTCACGGGTTTGTCATACGGAGGAAAATATACTAAATATTGAAGATGGGATATTTTACTGAAAGAAGACATCATTTTATTTTTAAAATAAGTAGAACTGCATTCACAGTTTTAAAAAAATCGCCTGCCTAAAACGGCATCAACCTCATGAAATGTGAAACAAAAAAAAACACATTTATTTTATGATAACCGTCGAAAGGGTAAAAATCATCAACCCTTTCAATGGTTATTATAACATACAGTCATGTATTCTTTTTTTTTTTCAAATTTCATGAGTTTCATTCCCGTTTGTAGCACGCCATCTTCAAAAAATGTTCAAAAGCAGTTCTAGTTATTATTAAAAATAAAATTATGTTTTCTTTCAGTATAATATCCTATATTCAATTTTTAATATTCTTTCCCTCCGTGTAACAAACCCGTGGGACACCCTGTATGTACCTAGTAGAAACAGGAATGTAAATATAATAAAATACCGCTATGAGGGCGAACGCCTTGGACTGTTTGCGATTGTATTCCCAAAACATATTGTTATTTGTGAGTTTTTCATTATTTGGTGCCATGTGCGGATCATCGTTATGTCGTGTTTTTGCTTTTGGCGTGTTTGGCAATGTTGTACCGAATAAATTAAAATACTTATACGCCAATACCGAATAACTATATAAAGTAACAAAAACACACAAGTAACAACATAATCCTTCTCTTTCTCATCTAACTAATATACATTTCGTGCAGTTTTGCTGCTTCATTCCCCCACAATGAATTTAATCATGAGTTCACGTAAGCACTGCAAATACCTTTCATTTCATTGAATTATAAAAACGTACTAAGATAATCTACTTTTTTTACTAAAGAATCAAGTTTCCGCTAAACATTTGACAATATCAGCCAGCATCGATATTCAATACGATTGTAATGCGGCTAATAAATCACTTTTAAACACACAATGGCTAGTTTGTAACACGACAGTTCGCGAGCATACAAAATCTTTGATCGATGAGTCTTATACAAAGAAGCCAGATCATTGTAAAAGCAATCCCAAAGTTCAATGGATATCTGAGTACCAGCCGATCATCAATGGATCAATAGTACATACTTATTAATAAAGTGTACATGTTTTCAGACGAAAGAAACCTCACACAATTCTCAGATTCCCTCCTAAGTTAGGAAAGTATCTCCGTTTGTTTGAAGACGGTAGAAAATACGATAGAGAAGTTATATCAAAGGAGGTCGGTGAGTTTTAACCATAATTAACTTCAGTACCTATTCACGAACAGACAATAGAATAAAAGCTTTTGCGATATATCAAAGGAATAATGAACACAAGAATGTTATTTTACGATAGATAGAGCTCCAAGGGAATGAACAGACTTGTGTATATGTTTTAACGGTACATGAGTGAGGCCGGATACAAACAGAATGGCGTCTCTTTGGGATGATGTAATAACGTAGTTTGTAAAGACTTTGTACGATTCAAAGTTAGCCATTTTAATTAAACTTGATTAATTAATTAAGTTATAACATCAGTCTGAATTCTGGGTACAGAATACAATGTAATAATGGAAAACCGAAGGTTTATAACGCACACGGGAGTCAATATTAAGCTTTGCTTTGTGGCAGACTTCAGTTATTGTCTAATAGATAGCAGTCTATTAACCAACCAAGATATTGGAAAAACACATTCGTAAAATAACTAAGTGTTGTCGAGTTAACTGTTTCTTTATCGCCGATTAATAAAACACCATACTCCCTATGGTGGTTTTATCTAATTACATTAAATATTTAAAGATGACCATGTAATTATAGAATTATTCTAACAACAAGCATAGTTTATTTCATGACATTAAACTCCTATCATCATCATCATCAGCCTATTAATGTCCCCACTGCTGGGGCACAGGCCTTCCCTATGGATGGAATAGGGAGATTGGGCCATGACCCACCACGCGGGCCCAGTGCGGATTGGCGGGTGCTAACGACTGCAGATGCAGCCGGGACCAACGGCTTAACGTGCCTTCCGAAGCACGGAGGAGCTCGAGATAGTAATTTTTGGTCACCCATCCAATGACCGACCACTGCGAAAGTTGCTTAAGTTCAACGATCGCAGCCGAACGCGCTAACCACTTGCGCCATCGAGTTCCTCCTATGTCAAATTTAATCTAGATTACTGTATATTTAAATTTTAACAGCTAAGCCAGCCTGACATTTAACGTATTATAGGACTAAATAGCTATTTTCTCTATCATTGTGGTATTATGTCCATAAAATTATAAGTGGCGATATAGGGTCTGCAAATGAGTGTTATAATAAAATTATTAACTTAACAGTAACAAGCCAGCAAAGTGCAATGTGGCTGCTTTATAAAATTATACTACCCATGTGCTCCCATAATGTAGTAAGCGACTGTTAATTAAACCACCAAACAATGTTCTTTTGATATGTTGTCGAACTTTATTCTTTAAGTATCATTTACACACTTTATTCCTTAAAGGTAAACGCCTAATGTACCTAGTCAGGCCATAAATTCTGTCACATGTTTAATATAAAATAATTGAAACAAGTTCATTCATTATGTAACAATTATATACCAAAATGAACTTGACAAAACAGATTCTTATGACAATAAAGTTTATTCAAAATGACCTCCGTGATTTTGAATACAGGCCTTCAATCTGCGCGGCCAGTCGTCTATCGCAGCACGAACGAGATCCTGAGGTCCTGAGGTCTTGAGTGACTCCAAATTGGGATGAGGCTTTGAGCACGCCTTTTCCTCCAAGTGTTGCCATATCTTGTAATCTAACGGACTCAAATCTGGACTGGAGGATGGCCAGTCTTCGTGCCGGATGAAGTCGATCACGCGCCGAAAGCCAGTCTTGTGTGCTCATCGCTCTATGAGCTGGCGCCGAATCTTGTTGGAATACCCAGTGCCTGTTATTGAACATGGTATGAGAAACAGGTTCCACAAGGTTCGTCAGGACTGTATTTTGATACACAACTGCATTCGCTTTTACACCTTTCTCACAAAAATGTACCTATGTTAAGCCCCAATAAGAAACTCCCAACCATACCATGAGCGAGGATGGAAAATGACCTCGTTGGACACGCGGAATACGGTTGCTCGCTTCTTCACTACTGTGTGCATACACCTTAGCATTTTGTTTGTTGTAGCTCTCTTCTAGGGAAAAATTTTTTTCATCCGAAAAAAGTATTTTTTCCCCGCGTACCGCTTCAAC